TAAGAGTTCTTTCCACCGCCTGTTTCCTCCCTGAAGCCTGGGGAAACTGAGGCCCAGAGCGTTGAGTTCACACACAGCAGGAGGGGTACAGCCAGCAAAGACAGACAGCCCCTACCACCGCAGTACAGACAATTATACACGTTTTAAACCACGCAATGGTTTCCCTGATGGCTCAGTTATGAAGAATCCACCTGCCAAGGCAGGAGACACAAGAGATGTGGGTTTGATCCCTGGGTCAGAAAGACTCTCTGGAGGAGGAAAGGGCTTCCTTTGTAGCTCAGTTGGTAAAGAATCTGCTTGCAGCACAGGAGACCCGGGTTCTAGCCCTGGGTTGGGAAGATCCTCCGGAGAAAGGAATGGTGCTACCCACTCCAGTATTCTTGCCTGGAAAATCCCATGGGCAGAGGAGCCTGGCGGGCTACAGTCCATGTGGTCACAAAAGAGTTGGATACGACTGAGGACACACGCACCAGAATTCCCAACAACCCTACAAGCTGGGAACCATAATTAGCCTCATCTTGCAGATGGGGAAACTGAGGCCCAGAGTAGTAATGCCCAGGAAACTTGCCTACCCTACATCAATGTCCTAGGCTATTTGGCCTCAGCCTGGCAGACAGGCAAAGGCTCTTCTGCGATCTAGTGGACACTCATGGCAGCACCATTCGAATGGAGTCACCTCTCACCTGCCAGTGGGCCCAGGGAGGGGACCAGTCAGGAAGGTGCAAGCCTAATGCCCTGACCACCTTTTCTCTGTCATGTTCTTCCCCCTCCAAGCATTCAAATGTTCACACCCTAAGTGTCCGCCTGAAAGGCATTGACTGACTAGTCTCCCTCCGGGACCATTCAGCAGAGAAAGACCCCAAAAGGTGGGTGGGGGNCAGCCAAAATAAATAAATATTTTTTTAAAAAATTTAAGACAGCAAAAATCCAAGGAGATTCTAAGTTGAAATGCATATGGTAAGCCCTAGAACAGTCACTAAGGAAATAACTCAAAATGTATACGGAAGAAAATCATTAAAGGAAGTAAAAGGTTACATTAGAAAATAGTTGCTTCATGCAACAGTAAGCAGTAAAGAAATAAACAAGTGGGACTACATCAAACTGAAAAGTTTCTGCACAGTAAAAGAAACCATCAACAAAATGAAAAGACAAGCTACAGAATGGCGGAAAATATTTGCAAACTCTATATCTGATAAGGGGTTAATATCCGAAATACAGAAAGAAACTCAAAACCCAAACAATATGATTTTTTTAAATGGGCAGAAGAACCAAATAGAAATTTTTTTTGAAGAAGACATCCAAATGGCCATCAGGTACAATGCAAGAAAAGATGTTTAAAGTCACTAGTCATCAGGCAGATGCAAATCAAAACCACAATGAAATATCACTTCACACCTGTTAAAATGCCATCAAAAGACAAGAGTGGGACATCCCACTCTTAACTGGTCCAGCAGTTAAGATTCTGAGCTTCTACTGCAGGGGATGCAGCTCTCATCCATGGTACGGGAACTAAGATTCCTCTCGCCCTGTCAGTCGTGTCCGACTCTTGCAACCCCGTAGACTACAGTCTATGGAGCCTGCCAGGCTCCTCTGTCCCTGGGACTGTCCAGGCAAGAATACTGGAGTGGATTGCAGTTTCCTTCTCCAGGGAATCTTCCTGACCCAGGAATTGAATCCAGATCTCCTGCATTGCAGGCAGATTCTTTACTGACTGAGCTGAGGGAAGCCCCCCTCATGCCCTGCATGGCAGAAAGAAAGGAAAAAAGGTGAGAAAACAGTTGGTGTTTCAAACATGGAAGAGAAAAGAACCCTGTCAAACTGTTGGCAGAAATGTAAATTGATGAAGCCACCTATGGAAAGCAGTTTGGAGGTTCCTTTAAAAAATTAAAATTAGAACTACTATGTGTGCTAAGTCGCTTCAGTCATGTTCGACTTTGCAAATTTGTGGGCCATAGCCCAACAGCCTCCTCTGTCCATGGGACTCTTCAGGCAAGAAAACTGGAGTGGGTTGCCATGCCCTCCTCCAGGGGATCTTCCCAACCCAGGAATCCAACCTATGTCTCCTACAGCTTCTACATTGGCAGGCAGGTCCTTTACCACTAGCACCACCTGGGAAGCCCCCTGTGATCCAGCAATTCCACCTCTGTATATTTATCTGGAGGAAACAATAACACTCACTCAAAAAGATATTTGCACTCTCATATTCGCTGCATATGAAGTTGCATACATCTATGCTGTATCAAGGTTGCTGGCATCCTGTCATGTCACTTACATCTTAACCACTGAACTACGATTGGGACAGCCCACATGTGTTCTATGGGACGGCTGGAATGGTTGGTTCTCTGTCGTCAGCTAATGCTTTGCCTTAGTAATAAATATGTGAGGCCTTTTCCGGGGGAAAAAATGGGCAGGACTTCCCTGGCAGTCCAGTGATTAAGAGTCCACCTGCCAGTGCAGGGAACACAGGTTCGAGACCTGCTCCAGGAAGATTCCATACGCTGTGGAGCAGCTAACCCCGTGCACTGCTAAGCCCACACGCTGTGAGTGGTGAAGCCCGCGTGCCCCAGAGGCCAGGCTTCGAAAACAGAGAAGCCTGCGCACCACAACGAGACCAGCGGCCCCTCAGTGCAATTGGAGGAAGCCCACAGAGCAAGGAAGAGCCAGCACAGTCAAAAACACACAGACAAAATAAACGCTTTAAAAATGGGCGATGAAACGGAATAGACATTTCTCCAAAGAAGATACAGGTAGGGTCAATAAGTGCAGGAAAAGATGCCCAAAAGCAATATTGCTTTTCAGCGAAAAGCAAATCAAAACTACAGTGAGATACCACTTCACACCACTAGGGTGGTTATAACAAGAGAAAAATAATAAAAAGCACCAGTGAAGATGTGGACAATTTGAAACTCTCACACATTGTTGATGGGAATGTAAAATGATACAGGCATTGTATAAACCACTCTGGCAGTTAAACACAGAATTACCAAGGGACTCGGCAATTCCACCCCTGGCAATATCCAAGAGAAATGAAAACGTACACTGACACAAGGATTTGCATAGAAATGTCATTATTTCCTTATCCACAATAGCCAAAAAGTAGAAACCACACAAGTGTTCATCAGCTGAAGAATGGATAAACAAAATACATCTATGCAATAGAATATTACTCGGCTGTAAAAAGAAGGATCAAAGTATTGATCCATGATATAATGTCAATGAACCTTGAAAACATTATGCTAACTGAAAAAGGCCAATCACAAAAGATCTCATTTTGTGTGATTCCAATTCCCCAGGTGGCGCAGTGGAAAAGAATCCGCCTGCCAATGCAGGACATGCTGGAGACGGAGACACAGAGGTTCAATCCCTGGGTCAGGAAGATCCCCTGGAGGAGGAAATGGCAACCCACCACAATATTCTTGGCTGGAAAATTTTAGGGACAGAGGAGACTGGCGGACTAGAGTCCATGGGGCCCCAAAGAGTTGGACATGACTGAGAGACTGAACATGCATGCCATTATGTAGAATGTCTAGAATAGGGAAATCCATGGTGGTGTAAAGTAGATTCCTACAGCCTAGGGCTGGGGAATGGGGAGGGAATGGCAAGCAACTCCTAAGAGTAAGGGGCTTCTTTCAGGGAGGAAGATGCAAATGTTCTCAATTTTATGGTGATGTTGCCCAACTGTGTATATATGCTGCTGCTGCTAAGTCACTTTAGTCGTGTCTGACTCTGTGCGACCCCATAAACGGCAGCCCACCAGGCTCCTCTGTTCCTGGGATTCTCCAGGCAAGAATACTGAAGTGGGTTGCCATTTCCTTCTCCAATGCATGCATGCATGCTAAGTCGCTTCAGTCGTGTCTGACTCTGTGAGATCCTATGGACAGCAGCCCACCAGGCTCCTCCATCCACAGGATTCTCTAGGCAAGAATACTGGAGTGGGTTGCCATTTCCTTCTCGAGTGTATGTGTGTGTGTGTGTGTGTGTGTGTGTGTGTGTGTGTATGTAAATGTAGTTTAAAAAAAACATTGAATTGTACAACTTACATGTGTGAATTGTATGGCATGTGAGCTATATCGTTTGTTTAACTGACATTCCCCTTTATAAAAAAACTGTGGCTGTGCTGGGTCTTTGTTGTGGCCCTCAGGGTTTCTTCCCATTGCAGAGCACAGAGCTTCAGAGCAAGGGGGCATGTGGGTTTGTGTGCCCCACCCCATGTGGGGTCTCAGTTCTTTGACCCAGGATCACACCCACCTCCCATACACTGGAAGGCAGATTCTCAACCACTGGGCCACCAGGGAAGTCCCTGTGAACCATATCTTAATTAAACTTATTAATTTTTAATTAATAAAATAAAAATTCTAATTGGGCTCAGTTGTCACCTCCTCCAAGAGCTCTCTCTCCTAATATAAACCCTCCAATTTATCCTCTTTCATGTCTTTCTTCACAGCCTGACTTCCTGAGTTCTTNCTAACCTGTGTCTCTTGGTGGGTGGATACTTGACCGCTGCGCCACCCGGGAAGCCAGTATGGTAGCATTACTAGGGGAAAAAAACACCTATACAATTCCCATTTTGGGCTTCCCTGGCGGTTCAGACGGTAAAGAATCCGTCTGCAATGCGGGACACCTGGGTTCGATCACTGAACTGGGAAGAACCCCTGGAGGAGGGCATGGCAACCCACTCCAGTATTCTTGCCTGGAGAATCCCCATGGACAGAGGAGCCTGGCGGGCCCATGTGGTCGCAAAGAGTCGAACAGGACTGAGCGACTAAGCACACATTCCCATTTTATAGAAGAGAACGCTCAGGTCCTGGAGCCTCATCCCCGGGACGATGATGCACACAGTATGAATATAAAGGCAGGAAACTGGAACCGGCCTCCGAGACCGCCCGTTGTACCTACAACTCCCGGCATGCCGCGCGCGCCGACGCTCCCTTACGCCTCGCTTGAACAGGAGGGCTAGTCGCGCTGCATCTCGGGAGTTGTAGTGTCGCCGCAAAGGGAGGCCGGGCTGTGAGAGGTTGGTGGATCTGGAGTCAACGAAGCAAATCTTATTGAGCTCGGGTCTGAGGAGCCAATGGGCTCGCGGCATCGAGAGGGAGGGACTTCCGGCCGCGAAATCAAGGTGAGCGGCTGCGCGAGAGCGGCCACTTCCTTTTTGAGGGTGGCGGCGGTCGTGGGTAGAGCGCCATGAAGGCCTCAGGGACGGTAAGGCGGGCGCGGTGGGACAAGGAGTCAGAGAACGCGACGCGGACCGAATCGGGGGCTGCGGGAGGAGACATGGGACACTCGGGGAGTGCGCGTTCCGGTTAGGGCCAGTGCGCCGAGGTCCCCAGTTGCGGCCAACATGGCGGCCACTGCGGGAGCCGCGTGGGGAGGCCAGAGCGTGGCCCGGGCCGGCTCGGGAATCGCGGGGACCGGGGAGTCCGAGTCTCCTTTCAACAGGAAGAGACAAATTGAGCGGTGTGGAAACACGCGCCACGGGACCTCATCGACCTTCCGAGCCTCAGTTTCTCCGTTTGCGAAATGAATCTAGTGTCAAGGGTGGGGGTTGGCGGGCAATAGTGTTCTGTTTCTCTTGGCATGACTGTAAGAGAAAGTAGAGAGAAACTGGTATAATTAGGGGCTGACATGGGGAGTGGGAGTTTTAACCGCTGTGGCAGGTGCTGGGCAAAATCAGCGTTAGTGCTCAGAGATGGAAGAGTAGACCCTGCGGAGAAGCATTTTGGGTGGGTCATTCTCAGCTTTTCAGCTCCATTTTGCACCCTGGAAAGGTGTCCGACCGCATCGGTCCCTTCCTGAATGGGTGGTCTGCGAGGCCGGTGAGTCAGATTAAGAGGTTAAAGTAAGAATCGAGTTTGTGATGTTTGGGGTTGTTTTCTATTGACATTAATAGTAAAATGGTGACGAGCCATTGGCTTTATGGTGGTGGCGCCTTTCTACTGTATCCCAGGATTTGAACGTGGCAGATATCATGCCCGTTGCATCTGTACAAACAGGGAGCTTCTGCTTGGGAATCCAAATCTCTTGGACTGCAGCTGGGAAACTGAGGCAGCTGCAAGTCATGACCTAAGTCCGGGAAACCCAGAGCTGGGCAGGGAACTGGATTCTTGTCCTGATTCTGCCTGGAGTTGACTGAGATTCCGGGCTGGTCACTGTCTCTGGGGTCCCGAATTTTCATTTTGACAAGTTGTGAGCTGGATAGAAGCGGTGTTGAAGCAACGAGGCAGCCCCACTGTTCTGTGCCTAGCTAACGTAAAGGGGGAGAGGGGCTGAGAGTCTCACCCAGCTTTCCTGAGCCAGGGCAAAGGGCATTCAGGCACCTGGGTTAATCCTCCCCACTCTCACTTCTTTTTATGTGGAAGGCTCAGACGGTGGAATGACCCACAGTCACCCAGATATCACAGGAGGGCACTGGGGTGGGACTTGACCTTCTCCATCCCCTGATCCAGTTGTCAACAGGCTTGGGGAAGGGCGCAGAGTGAGTCTCTGCAGTGGCCTCTAGACTTTGGGTGGTGGTCCCCACCTCAACCGCTGTTCCTTTTTTAGCTTCGAGAGTATAAGGTGGTGGGGCGCTGCCTGCCGACCCCCAAATGCCGTACGCCGCCCCTCTATCGCATGAGGATTTTTGCGCCTAATCATGTTGTTGCCAAGTCCCGCTTCTGGTACTTTGTGTCTCAGTTGAAGAAGATGAAGAAGTCCTCAGGGGAAATCGTCTACTGTGGACAGGTATGGGGTATCTGAAGCTGGGTGGGATCGGGGTGAATTTACACTTTCCCATGGGGCATCTGTCACCCTCCAGAGCTAGCAGGCTTTACAGCCCCTGACCCTGTCCCTTTGTGGTCTTCACGCCCTACATCAGGATGAAATAGGTGGCTTGGTGCCCTTTCCCTAATAAGAACCCCTGGGCCTCATCTGTAACGTGTGGGGGTGGCACTGTACTCTGCACAGTGAGGCTGCCTTGGGTAACTGATGGTTTTTGGCCCAGATGGTCCCAAGAGAATTGTTGGTTGGTGGGGGGAGTCAGAAGCTGGGTCCCCGTGGCGGGGGGAGCATCCCAGCCTGGACTGCCCTGCATCCCTGCGGTTACCATGGGGATTTCCTTCAGACAGCAGATTTCCCCGAGGGTGCCTGAAGGTGCAGGGACTGGGAGACGGGCAAGAGAGGTCCAGAGGTTGGACCATCCTTCGTAGCATTGGGGGCAGAGGTTCAGGGATGGTGGGGGGCCTTGGTCGAGGCCCACTTGCTGTTCTAGCCTCAGCCGGTCTCCTCTCCTTGACAGGTGTTCGAGAAATCTCCCCTGCGAGTGAAGAACTTCGGCATCTGGCTACGCTATGACTCCCGCAGTGGCACGCACAACATGTACCGGGAGTACCGGGACCTGACCACCGCCGGCGCTGTCACCCAGTGCTGTAAGCCGCCGGGTCTCTCCTTTAGACTCAGCAGGGCAGGCGCCTTCCCTGTCATACAGGGGCATGACAAATGCAAGAGGCTTCTCGGCTTGGGGGCAGTCCTCAGGGATGGAGGCAGGGGGAGTGGTGGGGATGCCCCAAGCATGCCTGGTCCTGGAACCTGGCAGTAGGTGGGCTCGGGCTGGGGGTGGGTGGAGAGGAGGGGGTCTGGTCATTCCTGAGCTGGTTCACCACCACCAACTGCATCTGGAACCTCCCTCTTGAGGTTTAAGGTTAGCCATTTTATAGATGCAGCTGCCGCCCGGAAACCTAGTCCAGCCCCTGTCCGGGGATGGGACCCAGCATTAGCAACCCTGGGTGCTCCCAGCGTGTGTCACCTGCCAGGACCAGAATCCAAGCACCTAAACCCAAGAACTGCTGTTTCTTGTAGCAGTGGTTTAAACAGAGGTGCTAACAGCAAATGTTATCTCGTCGCCTTTGTGGGGCTGCAGCCGTGCCCCTCAAAGTGAATTTGGAGGTTCTACACACTTGGTAGCCAGCGCCTGCTGGGACCAGATGCTGTGTCTGTTTGGTCCCCGAGTGCCCTCCTTCCCCACCCATGATGGGAAAATGTGTACATTCACCCTGCCCCCTTCTGATCTCTGCAGACCGAGACATGGGTGCCCGGCACCGAGCCCGGGCCCACTCAATCCAGATCATGAAGGTGGAGGAGATCGCAGCCAGCAAGTGCCGCCGACCAGCAGTCAAGCAGTTCCACGTAAGTGCCCTCAGGGCCCTGCAGGGCAGGCTGGGCTGAGGGGGCTCTGTTGGAACACCAGACTGGCCTGGCAGCGCCCCCAGCCTTGGGAGATGCAGTAAGGCAGCGGGTTTGACGCAGGAGCCCAGTGGGGGGTGGCCACACCTCAGTGGTCCCTGGGAGACAAAGTTAAGAGCCGTCCACCACCACCACCCCCACTACCTCCCTTTTCTTATCACAGGACTCCAAGATCAAGTTCCCACTGCCCCACCGCGTCCTCCGTCGCCAGCACAAGCCACGCTTCACCACCAAGAGGCCCAACACCTTCTTTTAGGTGCAGGCCCTCTGTCCCCGGGTCTGCCCAAATAAAACTTAATGGGAAAACCGAGTGCCCAGATACATTTCTTGTTTTCTTTACACACCCTGCAGAACTCAAAAGGGTGCAGCCAAGCTGTGAGTGCTCTGGGAGGGCTCCTCCTCTCCTTGAGTAGGGCCCCCGCACTGGATTCTCTAGAAGAGGGGGGTGGTCTAGGAATGGCAAGCCCCTCCCCACTCCCAGCTCTCTCTCCACTCAGTGCCATCAGACAGCTCTGCTGTGGGCCTTGGGGTGTGCTATAGCCACCAAACCTGGCCCCAGATCTGTCTTGTCTGCCTTGTTATACATGTTTCTCCGCTCTGTGCCACTCCCCCTCATTTGGTGGTAAAATGACAGCTCGCTGCACCCTGGGGGGAAAGCCTGTGGGTTTGGTTCTATTGCAGCTGTGGTCTTCCCTACCTATCCTCCAGCCCTGTTGTAGGTCCTCCGAGCAGGCACAAGGGGGCGCCCAAGAGAGCTGTGAGCCTGCTGTGCTGGCTTCTTTCCCCTCCACCAGCCAGGGCCCATTGAATGAAGCTGCCCTAATTCCACCTAGGAGGCCAAGGTCTCAGTGGGCATCTGTCTACTTGAGGCCTGGGGAATTCCAGGCATGAAACTAATCCCACCCTAAGCTCCTCACCCAGAGACCGAGGCACAGCTAAGAATTCAGTTCTTGGTGTTGTCACCTTGGACAGTCCAGGCCCTTTGTACCTTGGTGTCGTCTTCAGAAGATCGGGGCACTGACTAGATTCGCTCAGCTGCTTTGGGAGCCAGTGTTCTGCAGGCGGTGGATACACAGGTCAGTGAGGGCCTGCCTTGTCTTCCAGAGAGCCGTGGGTGGGGAAGAAGCTGGGGCACAGAGAGCTAGTGTGGGGCGGGGGCTGGGAGGAGAATGGTCCTAGGCAAGGACACAGCCTCCGCTCCCCCACCTGTGCGAGGAGGGGTTTAGTTGGCGTGGTGATCTTGGGTGGTTTCCAGAAAACCAACTCACTTCAAATCCCACCTGTTCTTGGAGAGGTTCCTGGGGCAGGGCTCAGGCATGGCTAGCCATTCTCATGGGAAAGACAGGCTCTGGGTCCTCAGTGACCCCGCTTTGCCTGTTCCAGCCCCTGGTGACACCAGTGGTAAAGAATCTGCCTGCACATGCAGAAACGTGAGAGACACGGATTCAATCCCTGGGTCGAACGATCCCTTGGAGGAGGGCGTGGCAGCCCACTCCAGTATTCTTGCCTGGAGGATCCCATGGACGAGGAGCCTGGCGGGCTACAGTCCATGGGTCAGTAAGTCACAAAACCCGTGACTGAGCTCACACAGACCAGCACCAGTGGCTCTTCCTGCCTCCCTGCACTTGCTGAGCTCTCTGCCTAGATGACTCCACAGACCACTGCCTCCCTGGGGATTGTAGACCATACAATGATTGGTTCACAGCACCTTCCCACACCAGACTGAGGGCAGGGACCACAGGTGTCACTGCAAGCCCAGGAGGAGTTAAAAATAATTAGACGGTTGTGATAGCCAATGAACACCCTTCTACCTTCATCTACACCACGTGTGTAAGCCCTGATCTGGCAGTGCTGGGCCAAATTTTTTATATTAATGCCAAAATGCCTGCCACTAACACACTAATTAACATCACTTAATAAGAGGACTATTTTCCTTCGGCCTTGCCAACACCATGGGTGAACAAGCTACTGACTGAAAATAAACCTTAGGATTTGCTTTTCCTTATGTGGAAAGCATTCTGCCCTGATACAAAATAATCACTCATAGGAAAAAACCTTAGGAACTTGAATCATTCCTCTCATGGGCTGCTGGGTTGGGGTATGATATGGGCATTCCTTAGTGGTGCAGTGGTTGGGATTGCAGCGCTTACACTGCCGGGGTCTGGGTTTGATCCCTGGTTAGGAACTAAAGATTTTGCAAGCCTTGTGATGTGACCAAAAAAAAAAAAAAAAGCTCAGGTATGTGGAGCAAAAGGCTGAAGAAAATTTCCCCACATATATTAGAAATACTTCTTCCTCAGGGCACTTCCTCAGGGCACTTCTTCCTGGTGTTTAAGACATTTGTCCAGCCAAATTTTTCTTGAATATCTGCCTAGGTGATTTAATTAACCCTGTGAACCCTGGCAGAAATTCCTGGTTACCCTAAAGATTTCTCCTTTCTCAAGGCGTCTCCATATCTAGGTGCCACCCAGAAAAAGTTTGGCAGCTTCCTTTTCACTTAAGGATGAGTGTGTGATATTAGCAGTAGTGATGCATACATTTCCAGGAAATAATCTGGCTGGGATATAGGAACAATGGCTGGTTCTTCACCAGTTTGGCCATTAAACTCCTGATGGCTGTTACTGGGGCAGGTCACAGCCCACTCTGAGCCTTAGTTTTTTCCTGTATAAAGTAGAAATGGTGATCCCTTAGGTCTCAGGTGGGGGCTTCAGATGAGCTAGAGGTTGAGAGGCCAGAAATGTCAGGTGGGAGAATAGACCCCCAGGAAAGTGGAAGGCCAGAGATGGCCCCACAAAGGCCCCCCATGCACCCCCATCCCCACCTTGAAGCTCTGCCAAAATTTCATCCACATTACAGCCTGGGAACTTGGAGAGGGTGTTGCCCCCAGCCAGCTTGGGAATGGAGTCAGTCTCATAGAGGAGGCCTTGAACCAAGAGATGAGGGAGCCCTCAGCTTACTAACAGACCTGTTCGTACACCCATCCTGCAGTCTACTTGTCGCGTAACCTTGTCCATAGACACCCCCTGCCATGTAACCGCCCACCTGGCGATTACCCCACAAAGCGTGCATAGAGCAGTCACCCAGAAGCTGGCTGAGATGAGGCCCACTGAAGCGAACCCTCCAGTCTCCAGCGGTAGTCGTGCCAGGACCAACCAGCACAAAGGCCCGGAGCTAGAAGAAATGGGCCCTTCTGTGTGGGCCTGTGGAGCAAGACTGGCCGCTTGGATTGCTGCTCGGGCCCAGGGACAAGTCTTTTCCCGGGCTTACGCGGCCAGCCTGAAGGTGGGCAGGAACCTTCTCCCCACAAGCCGTTAGGTGCTGAGGCACTCCCAGGAGCCGCCCCAGGCTTCTCTAGGTGCCGGCTGTCCCAGACTGGACAGGGCCGGGAGCCCTGGAGGAGGGCCGCACCACCCTGACCCACCCTGCACCTCGTTTCTGAGTCGGGCAAAGCAAGCGGGGGCCTCAGGTGACCCATGGTAGATCCTGAAACCCAGGGAGACTCTGGGCATCACAGGATCAGAATCCTCAGGACTTGGAATCAGGGAATCTTATAGACAATAACAGCCACTGGTGGTAATAATGGTTTGCTTTTACTGAATGCAGGATTGGATGTTCCAGGACATAGCCAGCAGGTCATGCTGGAGCAGCTAGAACAGCTCACAACCTCTCATCTCTGACCCCTGCCCTGTCTCCAGGGAGACATGAGAACACGGGATACCCAGGCAGCAGGCAGGAGTGGTGGCAGCAGATATCCCCTCAGCACCCCGACATCCTTGCCCCTTTTGCTTAGACCACTGCTGCTGGGCTCTACCCACTGAAGCGAACCCTCCAGTCTCCAGCGGTAGTCGTGCCAGGACCAACCAGCACAAAGGCCCGGAGCTAGAAGAAATGGGCCCTTCTGTGTGCCGGGCCTGTGGAGCAAGACTGGCCGCTTGGATTGCTGCTCGGGCCCAGGGACAAGTCTTTTCCCGGGCTCACGCGGCCAGCCTGCAGGTGGGCAGGAACCTGCTCCCCACAAGCCGTTAGGTGCTGAGGCACTCTCAGGACCCGCCCCAGGCTTCTCTAGGTGCCAGCTGTCCCAGACTGGACAGGGCCGGGAGCCCTGGAGGAGGGCCACACCTCCCTGACCCACCCCGCACCTCGTATCTGAGTCAGGCAGGGCAAGCGGGGGCCTCGGGTGACCCATGGTGGATCCTGAAACCCAGGGAGACTCTGGGCATCACAGGATCAGAATCCTCAGGACTTGGAATCAGGGAATCTTACAGACAATAACAGCCACTGGTGGTAATAATGGTTTGCTTTTACTGAATGCAGGATTGGATGTTCCAGGACATAGACAGCAGGTCATGCTGGAGCAGCTAGAACAGCTCACAACCTCTCATCTCTGACCCCTGCCCTGTCTCCAGGGAGACGAGAACACGGGATACCCAGGCAGCCCGCAGGAGTGGTGGCAGCAGATATCCCCTCAGCACCCCGACATCCTTGCCCCTTTTGCTTAGACCACTGCTGCTGGGCTCTCGGGGACTGCCCTGCTCCTCCCCCAATCCAGGGGGAGTCCTCGGGTCCTGCCTGCCCTCCTCCTGTCCCATAATTGGAGTCATACAGTCCAGGAAGGCATACCTGCTTCCCCTCCCTCTTCCCTGCCCTCCACACTTCCTCCCCACCCCACCACCACCACCCTGCAGGGCTTCCAACTCTGAGCCCACCATCCAGGAAATCCAAAACATGTTCTGAATCTACCCATTTTTTCCCACCCTCAACCCCTGCCTTGGACCTGGTGGGTTTTTCAGAACCTGTGGTGATTTAGTCGTTAAGTTGTGCCCAACTCTTATGACCCCATGGACTGTAGCCTGCCAGGCTCTTCTGTCCATAGGATTTCCCAAGCAAGCATGCTGGGGTGGGTTGCCAGTTCCTTCTCCAGGGGTCTTCCTGACCCAGGGATCGAACCTGGATCTCCTGCTTTGCAGGTGGACTCTTCATCGACTGACCCATCAGGGAAACTAGGTCCTTCATTTGCTCCAGACTCTCCAGTTGCTCCCACCCAGTGCCCTCAGAATAAAATCCAGACCCCCTCCAAGGGTCCCAGTCTACAGTGATCCTCCCTGTCCTGCTCTTTCCAACCTCAGGGCCCTGCCCCCAGCTCTCCAAACCTGGCTCACTCTCTGCTGCAGGGTCCCCCTCTGAGGCCTCACATTAAGTGTCCCCCACCTCCATCCCCTAGGCTGTCTCCATCTCTGACCTTGCTCTTGTCATGTTAGCTTCTGAAATGGGTATTCATCTGCTGGCTTGATCAGAGCCCTGAGGCCACGAGCAGGGCATGTCCACCTGGATCCTGTTGTGTGCCCAGTGGCTGGTGCAGGGCCCTGCACACAGTAGGCGCTTAATGAAAGGGACTCAGACCAAGTGTTAGTCTGCCGGCTAGACCCTCCTTCCACCAGGGTAGGAGAGGAGAGGGGAGACAGAACAGCTTTTGCCCGAACTTGCATCAATCTGCATATATTTGCATTTTCTTTCTTGGCTTTGCGGGGAATCTTCCTGCAGCAGAGAAGGGAAAGGAGGAGGAACGCGGTGTTCTCTGCATCCTTCTGGCAAAGGCGAAGGGTGCATCAGTTCAGTTCAGTCGCTCAGTCATGTCCGACTCTTTGCAACCCCATGGACTGCAGCACGCCAGGCCTCCCTGTCCATCATCAACTCCCAGAGTTTACTCAAATTCATATCCATTAAGTCAGTGATGCCATCCGACCAACTCATCCTCTGTCGTCCCCTTCTCCTCCCGCCTTCAACAGGAGGCTCTTTAGTTCTTCTTCGCTTTCTGTCATAAAGTGAAGGGTGCATACCAGCAGACAACAGATGCCCGAGTGGAGCCGTGGCATCACATCTCCAGGGAGAAGTAGGTCGGCTCTGCAGCGCTGCGCGCAGACAGAATAAGACAGTACCGGGTCAAACGTGAGGCTGCCTGGCGGTCACTGGACCCAGCTTGGGTGATGTGACCAGAGGAGGCCACCAGGGGGCGGCAGAGGCCGAGGAGGGTCCCAGTGCCCTAGGAGGACAGATTCCCAGATCCCTCCCGCTTACGGAGGAGGGAATCCAGCTTTTGGAGCTCCAGCTAGGACTCAAACCCAGAGGTCAGAACCTCCAGATGACAAAGTGTGGGTTTCTTGAGGGCATGACCCGAGACAAGCGACTCCCCCTTCCTCGGTACCTCTGATCCCATTTGTGGGACATGCCAGACACTACTTCCCCAGGTAGTCATGTCCCTCCATTTTTGGGAACATGATCATAGACAACCCCTCTGCCATGACCGCCACTTTACACGTAATGTCTGGCACAGCGTAGACTCTCAATGCATGAGAGCTGGTGAAGGAACCAACGAATACACGGAGAAAGGAATGAATGAGGTACTTGTTCTGTGCCAGGCTTGTGTTATACAGGTTCAGTTTGTTCCTCTGAGGCAAGGGCTATTTTATGCCCATTTACAGATGGGGAATCTGAGGCCCAGAGAGACACCAAGTCTTTCTCAAATATGGATGCATTCAGAACTTGAAGGAACCTGTTGCCTTCCTCTCCACTTAGCCTGAGGGCCGGGTTTGGTGATGCCCCCCTGCTAGGCTCCAGAGAAACGGAGAAGGTCAAAGTGCCAACTGAGGGAGGGGTTGAAGCAGAGCGAATTTCCCTATGGGACCCTGCAACCCTGAAAGTAAACCCCAGTTCTGTGGGTGAGTGAGCTCCCCACAGCTCAGGGTACAAAAGCACAACGGGGATCTGAGCGCTGGGCCACCGCTCCCAGCTGTGTGGCCTTGGCTGAGTGACAGGCCAACTTTGAACCTCAGTTTCCCCACCTGTCCAAGGGCGACATTAACAGCTTATGGTCAGCGGAAAGTACCCCACAAAGCAGGGGGAAGGGGGCGTTTGGGAGCTCCCCCCACCCCCCGGCAGCCACCTAAGTGTCCTGTCCTGGCCCATCTGACGGAGTACAGGGCCGAAAGGGTGCGGGTCCTGCCCGCCCCAGCTCTGGGGGCGGAGTCTCGCTGACCCGGAGCCCAATAAATCCGCGGCCCGCCGCCGCCGGGAGCTGCCCCCTTAGGCCCCACCGAGCCCTCCTGCTGTCAGCCGTGAGCACAGCTCCAATCTGACGGAGTACAGGGCCGAAAGGGTGCGGGTCCTGCCCGCCCCAGCTCTGGGGGCGGAGTCTCGCTCACCCGGAGCCCAATAAATCCGCGGCCCGCCGCCGCCGGGAGCTGCCCCCTTAGGCCCCACCGAGCCCTCCTGCTGTCAGCCGTGAGCACAGCTCCCAAGGAGGCGGCCAGACGTCCGCGCGGGGGACGTGCCGCTTGCACCGGGCGCCTGGACGGAGCGAGCGGCCAGGCGGACGGACAAACAGACCCGAAGACGAAGAGGGGTGACAGGGGGGCAGACGATCTGCAGCGAGGAGCCAGAGATTTCTCGCCCAGGGAGCCCCGGGCCGCGGGCGACCACAGGGGACAGGCGCGCGGTGTCGCTGCCGCCGCTGAGCATCCTACCTGCGCGCTGTCTTGCCTCCTCGGCCGCTGCCAACTTCCCTCAGCCGAGACACGCCGGGTGGCTGGAAGGGGCTGGGGACGCGCCCGTCCCCTCCCGCGCACCGCATGGCCGCCGTCGAGGCAGAGGAGCGGGCCACGTTCGGAGCCTGGGACTACGGGGTCTTCGCCCTGATGCTGCTGGTGTCCACCGGCATCGGGCTGTGGGTCGGTTTAGCGCGAGGCGGGCAGCGCAGCGCCGAGGACTTCTTCACCGGGGGTCGGCGCCTGTCCGCCCTGCCGGTGGGCCTCTCGCTGGCCGCCAGCTTCATGTCGGCGGTCCAGGTGCTGGGGGTGCCAGCCGAGGCATACCGCTATGGCCTCAAGTTCCTCTGGATGTGCCTGGGACAGCTGCTCAACTCTCTGCTCACTGCCCTGCTCTTCCTGCCCGTCTTCTACCGCCTGGGCCTCACCAGCACCTACGAGGTACTGCGCAGGGGCCCGGGGGCTGAGGACCTGCCTGACTGGGAACGCGGGGACGTGGCAGGGGAGGCCCTAAGGCTCTGAACCGTGGTGCGGGGGGCCGCAGGCGGGCTGCGGGAGCCTCCGAGCTGGACAGGTGGGGAGGGTTCTGGCAAGAAGCCGCAGGCAGTGAGGCCGGGGCAGGAAGGAGGAAGAGGAGCCAGCGTCCTGGTTCTCTTTGGTGGAAACTCGCTCAGGTCGGAGCCAGGCTCGGCCAGGGGCGCGCTCACCTGTGGACAGGCACACTCCTGCCCCACAAGGCCTGGGCTTGCGTCCACCTGAGTGTCCCTGGTGGCAGACTCCGGATTCGAAATCCGACTGCCCCGCAGCACGCCTCCTGCCTTCCGCGCGGGGTTGCCTCTCCGCTCGGGTTTCCCAGACGTCAAACTGGCGTTATTACGAGACCTCGCTCCGGGGCAGGGAGCACAAAGATTAAAATCTTGACCGGTCGTACAGTAGGCAGCCAGTCACGGGCACTGTCTGTATCTTGCGAAAGTTGACTCAGAGCGGCGGCAGCCCCGGGGGAAAGATCAGACATGGTGGGAGCGTGTGGGACCACTGTGTACACGCTTGATGGTGCAGTCTATGGGCACACGCCGTATGCACAGGCGCGGGGATGGCGCGTGTGCACAGGTGTGTGCAGGTAGACTGGAAAGGGTGCCTGGCGGGAGCCCTCCGCCCCGCCTCTCCCCCGTGGGCAAGAGTGTGGAGTTGGCCTCCGGTGGGCGGGCAGAAGCCAAGAGGGCGGGTGAAGGACCCAGAAGCCTCGGGTCCCTGCATGGGGACTCTCCAGGTGACCACGAGCCCTCGGCTCCTCCTTGTAGTACCTGGAGATGCGCTTCAGCCGCGCCGTGCGGCTCTGCGGGACTCTGCAGTACCTCGTGGCTACAGTGAGTGGCCTCGGCCCCGCGCTCGCGCCCAGGGTCCAGCTCGGGTCAAATATCGGACGGTCACGCCCACAACCCCGCCCCCACCCTCACGACCCCACTCCGACTCTGCAAAGCCTTGTCCAGGCCCCGCCCACAATCCTTCTGGCCCCGCCCCAGGAGGCTCTATTTGCAAGTCTGGCCCGCCGGCTTCTCGCAGACCTCCTGCATGACCCCACCCCGATCCCGCCTGGCCCGGCCCATCTGCCCTCAGTAAAGTACCCCAAGCGTCCTCCTCCTCCTAGCTCCTTCCCAATACCCTCTCCGCACAGGTGCCCCCAGCCTCCCTGCCCTCGCCCTCTATCCGCAGATGCTGTACACCGGCATAGTGATCTACGCCCCTGCGCTCATCCTGAACCAAGGTTTGAAAGGGCGGGGGTGGGGAGGGTGGCGGCGGGAAGGAGCAAAGGCTTAGAGGCTGGCCGGGGTGAGGGGAGGGACAGTTCTAGGAGAGAAGAATCCTACTTCACTCCCCGCAAGGCCCCCAGACAGTGAAAGCCAAGCTTTCGGCCTGCAAATTGACCTAACAGGAGGGTCTCCTTGCAGTGACAGGGCTGGACATCTGGGCGTCGCTCCTGTCTACCGGAATCATCTGCACCTTCTACACTACTGTGGTGAATATCCTCTACCCCCACCCCACGTGGGGCTGCATGCCTACTGAGTGGGAGAGACCCGGAGCAGGCCCGTTCACTTCCCTACCTTCCCTTTCTCCAGAGGAAGACTGTGCCCCCACTGGGCCTATTTCCTCATCTTTATTATGAAAAGTGACTTGAAAGGCTTATTGCTGAAAGCCCACGGCTGGATCCAGGGGCTGCAGGAGAGCCCTCTGTGTTCTGTCCCATCTGTTAAGAACCTCATTAGCTCTGGGCTTCCATCCCTTTGGGCTGCATTCTAGCAGAAAATGAGTTCCTGTTTCAGGATGGACTGCCTGAAGTCCCAGGAGGGTTCTGTCTGGCTGGCACTGGTGTTCGGTGAAGGATGAGCCATTCGCAGAGGTGTGGGGAGCTAGGATGTTCTGTTGGCCATTCCTGAAGTTGGGGGCAGGGTTAGCCTCACCTGAATGACCTGGAAGTGTGGGAGGGGCTTCTCCAAAGGAAACCGAGAAGCTGCCCAGGGAAGGCAAAGATGTGAAGGCTGGATGGGTAAAAACAGCTAATAATGGGTAAAAACAGCTAATAATACCAGTAGTAGTAATGATGATAATAATAATGGCAGCCATCACTCACTGAACACTTGTATGTGCCAGATGCTCTTCCAAATATTTTTCTTGTATTAATTAGTTTATTCTTTGCAATGATACCCTGAAGAAGGTACTATTATTAACCCCATTTTACAGATGAGGAAAACTGAGGCAGAGAAGACCATTGGTCCCAGCCAGTACTGGAGGCCAGGCCAAATCCCCACCAGGTCCCCCACCTGACTCCTCCACCCTCCCACCTCCACTCTGTCCTACAGGCCACAGACAGATCCCCGTCTGACACCCTCTCTCCCTGTCTGTTGCATCTTGCAGGGCGGCATGAAGGCTGTGATCTGGACGGATGTATTTCAGGTCCTAGTGATGCTGAGTGGTTTCTGGGTTGTCCTGGCTCGTGGAGCTGTGCTTGTGGGTGGACCTGGGCAAGTACTCGAGCTTGCCAAGAACCACTCCCGGATCAACCTGATGGAGTACGTGAAAATGTAGAGGGAGATATGGCCAAATGATGGAGCTGGCATCTCTGCCCTGGGAGAAGCCAGCCAATGCCGCCTCCCCGAAGCCCTTCCTGCTCCCCTTCCCAGACAGAAAACCTAGACAAAACCCTGGCTTCCCTCTCTGGGGACTGAAGGCTCTCTGTGATCCCAGTTAGGCACAGAAAAAAGTTTTTTGAATACATGTGGATGACTCAATAAACCCATGAACTTTTAATCTGGCAAACTTCTATTCACACTTCAAAACCTAGCCCCAAATGTCCCTTTAAGACCCATCAGGTCCAGAATAGGCATCTGGGGCAACTTGGAGGGGAGAAGTCAGTGTAGCATTCCCACATGGCTGACTGGCCCCGTCCTCATCCAGCTTTGACCTGGACCCGAGGAGCCGCTACACGTTCTGGACTTTTGTCGTGGGTGGCACGTTGGTGTGGCTCTCCATGTACGGGGTGAACCAAGCCCAGGTGCAGCGCTACGTGGCCTGTCGCACAGAGAGGCAAGCCAAGCTGTGAGTATTTGGCAGGGTGCCTCTGGGATGTGCTGCCCCCTTCCTCCACCCCGAGACCACCTCTCCGCTCCAGGGCTGTGCTCATCAACCAGCTGGGCCTGTTCCTGATCGTGTCCAGCGCTGCTGCCTGTGGCGTCGTCATGTTCACGTTCTACCTTGACTGTGACCCTCTCCTGGCGGGGCGTATCTCTGCCCCAGACCAGGTGAGTCTGGTCCAGGCTCCTAGGCCACTCCTATCCATCCACCCCCACTGAGAACCTCTGGGTGAGTCTCTGGGGGTGAAGGTGGAAAAGTATTCCTAATGGAGAGATAGCCTGTGCAAATGTCCAGAGGCAGGAAAGAACTCGACACAGAGGAGGGTCTGGGAGGTGATGCAATGTTATGGGGAGGGGAGGGGCATTTCAGACTCCCTGAGGGATATCAAGGAGGCCATGGGACCACGGTTCAGCATGAAATGATGACACTGCCAATAACGACCAGCTCTCATGTCCCAAGTACCTTCACTGTGCCTCATGCCCCTTCATGAACAGTTAGGTTCCCATCAAAATCTTTCAACATGTAATGAGGCCAAGACAGCCATGGCCCTTGATTTACAGATGAGAAACTGAGGCAGGAGATCAGAAGTAAAGCAATCGCCTGAGGTCCACAGGCAAGACAGGGGTAGCACCAAGGCCAGGACCCAGACGTGCTCACCCTGGGGGAAGCTCTGGCCATGGGGTTCAGAGTCCATGGGGTCGGATCCCAGACTGCTTCTGTAACCTCAAGCAAGGAGTGACCCTCTTTGGCGTCACTGGCCTCATCAGTCAAGTGGGAATGACCCAGGATCACAGAGTCAGTCAACAAGCACGCGCTGAGTGCCCACTGTGAGTCTGGTCGGTACTGGATGTTGGGAATGTGCAGTGTGAGGACAGATAGAGGCCTTACCCTCGGGGCCTTGCTGTCCTGGAGGTTGACCCTTGACTCCCTTCAGTACATGCCCCTGCTGGTGCTGGACATCTTTGAAGACCTGCCTGGAGTCCCCGGGCTCTTTCTGGCCTGTGCCTACAGTGGGACCCTCAGGTGAGTGACCTTGCTTTCTCTCTTGGCCACATCTGAGCCCCTGGGGCCTCGTCATAATGTTCTGAGCCCGTCCAGCATTTACTGCTCAGCCCCCAGTAAGTGGGGTCCAGTGGAAGGCATACCCTGGGCACAAGGACCCCAGATCCGGGGTAAACCCTTATTGCCCAGCAGGGTTACACTCGATTCCTTTCCCTTTCTTGTTTCCGTCCTCTCTCCCTCCCTCAAACAAATGTTTGTTGAGCACCTATGGGGCAGGTACTGCTCTTCTAAATATTGGGGCACAGCTGTGACCAAGCGGTCCCCCACTTCTGCCCTCATGGGCCTCACGCTCTGGCAGTTTCAGATCTCCCCTGACTTCTGGTCGCATCGCTGCTCCTACTGTGACCAGAGTCTATGTGGCTGTTCTCTGCACCCCATCACTGCTTTGTAATGAGACCTTGTGTCATTAATGTTCTCAGTCATGGGTGTCCTTGCTCCCATGAGGGTGTCTCAGGTCTGCGGGGAGAGTGGGGAGGTGGACCTCTCCTCTAGAATGATTCTGCTGCCCAGGCCTCTGCCCTTGGCTTGGGTTGGGTCCTGGCAGGCCAGTTGGTGTGGGTAGCTAGGGGCCTCCTCCAGCAAGTAAGCCCCGGGGGCAAGAGGTGGCCAGTCCCTTGATGTGGCCTGAGGACACCCACCTCCTTTGTACTCCCCTCTTCCAGCACCGCATCCACCAGCATCAATGCCATGGCTGCCGTCACTGTGGAGGACCTCATCAAACCTCGGCTGCCGAGCCTGGCCCCTCGGAGACTGGTCATCATCTCCAAGGGGCTCTGTGAGTTGGGGGAACCTGAATGGGGGGCCAGGGAAGCCTCTCCCCACTGACAGAGTCATCCCCATCCACTATAGCACTCATCTACGGCTCAGCTTGTCTCACCGTGGCAGCTCTGTCATCCCTGCTGGGGGGTGGTGTCCTCCAGGTAGGTACCCCCCCTCCCCCACCGCCTCCAATCTTCCCAAGAGGTGAGGCCTCATCTACTTTGAGGCTCAGAGAAGGTTGTGCATGTCGATGGCAGAACTGAGTTCTGACACGCCACCAGAAGGATGGCCACAGTCTGGCCTGAGACAGGGATGCGGGGAGGTGGGAATAGTGACCTGGGGGCAAGAAGGGCCTCCTCCTGGCATGGTCATGGAACCAGATTTGTCAAGAGAGAGAATCTGCATCTCTGGGAGAGAGCTGAGAATAGGGCATCCCTTCCCCTTTAGAGAAACTGAGGCATAGAGGAGTCTCAAGACCCCCAGTGGAGTTCCCCAGGTCTTCCTTTCCCAGCGGGTAAACTGAGGCTAGGAAAGGTGGGACGACCCTGCCTTCAGTCCCACTCCCACCCATCCTCCCAGGGCTCCTTCACTGTCATGGGGGTCATCAGCGGCCCCCTCCTCGGAGCCTTCATCCTGGGGATGTTCGTCCCCACCAGCAACACACCGGTGAGTATTAATACACGGGCGAGAGACTAGGAGCGCGAGGGGTCAACCTCGACTTCCGCTGACACTGGGTCCCTCACCAGGGCGTCCTATCCGGGCTGGCAGTGGGCTTGGCGCTGTCGCTGTGGGTGGCCGTGGGCGCCACTCTGTACCCGCCTAGCGCGCAGTCCATGGGGGTCCTTCCGTCATCAGCCGCTGGCTGTGCTGTGCTCTCAGCCAACGCCTCTGGTCTCCTGGACCCTCTTCTCACCGCCAACGCCTCGGGCAGGGTCTCCAGGTAAACTCTGAGCCGGGAAGCGTGGCCAGAAAGTGTGTGATTGGAGGGATCCTGAAGCTGAGTCCCTACTGGGAAGGAGAAGGTGCGGGCGGGGCTTGGGGAGCGGGGAGTAGGGCATTCCCCGCAGAAGAGAAAGTGCAAACTCTCTGAGGCCAGGGTTCAGGTAGTGCATTCCAACTGTGGTGAGGTTAGAGTGGATTTAATGGCAGAAGAAAGGATACGCGAGATGAGGTTCAACCAGAGAAATCGGATTCTTTTTAAACTGTGATATCATTTACAGACCATAAAATTAGCCATTTAACAGCGGTTTTTAGTATATTCACCAGGTTATCCAATCATCACCACTATCTCAAGAACACTGTCATTACCTCAAAAACAAAAAAGACAAAAGCCCAAAACCCTGTACGATTTAACAGTCACTGCCGTTTCCACCTCCCTCCAGCCCCTGGCTTCCCCGGTGGCTCAGCTGGTAAAGAATCCACCTGCAGTGCGGAAGACATGGGTTCCATCCCTGGGTTGGGAAGGTCCCCTGGAGGAGGGAATGGCTACCCACTCCAGTATTCTGGCCTGGAGAATTCCATGGACTGTGTAATCCATGGGGTCACAAATGGTTGGACAGAACTGAGCGATTTCACTTCTAGCCGCAGGCAACCACTAATCTACTTTCTGTTGCTATGGACTTGCCTGCTCAGGACATTTCGTATAAACGGAATTGTGCAACATGACCTGTTGGGTTCAGCTCCCTTCACTCAGAATGATGTTGTGTGTATGTGTGTGTGTGTGTGTGTGTGTGTGCAATAAAGTTTTATTAAAGTATAAAGGAGATAGAGAAAGCTTCTGACATTGGCATCAGAAGGGGGCAGAAAGAGTACTCCCCTGCTAGTCTTCAGCTGGATGTTATATAGTCACTAGCAGTCTGTTAATGAAAAGAAAGGAATGTCTTAAAACTCAGAATGGCACAAGGCCCCTCATCCATAAGATGCATTTTGGGATAATCTTGACACCAGATGATTCATCCCAGGCCATAAAACGATTGACTTGAATCTTGTAGAAGGGCAGATTATCATACAAATAATTTCGTTTACATAGATTAGGGGAACAATATCTGAGTATAACATACTGGTTTGTCAAGTAGGTTCTGAGCCATTTGGCAGAACCGACTTGAAGACAGAGTCTGGGGTAAATGCATAGCACATTAACATAGCTTAAGACAAACATTTCCATAAGAAAAATGTATTGGTTAACTCAAGGTTTGAGAGTAGTTAGCTTCAGGTGAAACCAGGTGTCATTATGGCAACACAGTATTTTAAGAGAAACCTCCTTTTAAATTTGTATCGAGAAGGACAAATATCGCTAGTTTGTTTCCTCCTGCTGCTTAAGAGAGAGGAAAATGTCTGACACTTGCAGCCTATTTTTTCCATTTGGAGACCCCTGGCCTTCCTGCCTGTTACCCTCTCAGTATTCTATATACAGTAGTCACTCCAAAATGCTTGTTGATAATTATATCTTATTCCAAAAAGTACTAATCCTATGGACAAAATCCACTGGGTCAATTTTGGTATAGAGCTTTGGACTAGAAAGACACTTTAAACAAAACCGCATCAATTTTTAAGCCAACAAAGAAATCTTTTCACATATCACTGACATATATGTTCCTCTAGATTCTATGTAGACATTTCTAGTGATGGGTAAATCACTCCTTAAGAAGACAGTCTACTCCATTTTGACATCTCTTAAGCATTAAAATAATTAAATTCGGACGTCTTATAACTTCTACTCATCAACCCAAATTTTGCCCTCTTAACTGACACAGTGCAGTTCTTCATTCTATATGTAAACCACCCTGTAAATTCTTGAAGCCAATAACTGTGACCTCTCTCTCCATCTAACTCTCATTTTCATCCCTAGAAAGCATTTTTCCCGTGTCAAATAGTCAAAAATATTTCCAACAATTTAATGGTTGACTTCATAAACAAACTTGAAGTCAATCTAGTCACTCTCCAGGAGAATATCTGAGAGTGCTGCGCCTTGAAGAAAATAAAATTTCAGATACAATATAGTCGGTCAGAAGTAAAGTGGAGCTACCAATGGTGTTGCTCTGGATTTCTATACAGTTAAAGACTGAGTTACCTATTATAAAAGCTAAAATATCAAAACCATGCTAAAGAATTCCTCACATCTTTTACTTCATTCAGGTTGGCATCCTACTAAATTTGGTGATCTGTGCAACTAATAAGAATGTTTAAGAGTGACCAACAGTAGTAACTCACATCCCTTAACATCTCTAAATTGCTGAGCAAAGAAATCTGCTTCTTGAATTCTTAAGAGCAAGTCTTTAAGAAAAGAACAAATTCTTCTATTTTCAAGAGGCATTAAGTATGTTTTCCTCTATGTCTGTGCTAAAAAAAAAAAAACAACTTATTGATTACAACTATACTTGAACTTTCTGCAGTTTCAGAAAGGTGAATATAAAATATGCCTTCTTATACAGTGTGCAAATTGCCTTTACGTTTTAAGAATATGACCATTTCCCAAAAAGGAATAAATAGAGAAGAGTAAATTTTCAGTGATTTAGTTATATAGACTAAATCACAAGATTAAGAAGCTACTAATAAAGAAGGAAGCTAAACTATAAGTAGTAAATGGTAGTTACTAGGAGAGTATGGTCTATCTGTTAGAGATAGTGATAATATTGGGAGTAGTGATGGTGTACATTACTGTTCAGTTTACACATTGCACCTGTGTTTCCAGATAAGGGATTAAATGGGTGCTAAAATACAACTTGTGCACCCCGTGTTAAGACTTGCAACCTTAGAATGGAAGGCACCTTAACAGCAGCATCATTTTAAAATTCACCTGGGCGGAAGGGGCACTATTTTGTAACGGTGACCTTAAACGAGTAGACCATCAGTTATTTCCCCAGCAGATATTATTTATTTGGGATCAGCAAATAATTGCAATTTGGAGTCTGTAACCATTCCAAGCCACATGCAAGTCCCCATACAGCAAGCCAGGGAGAATGCTTTCAACAGAACGATGTTTTTAAGGTTTGTCCACAATGTAGTGTGTCTCGGTACTTCATTCCTTTTATGACCTCAGAGTATTTCACTGAATGGATGGACCAATTTTGTTGATCCTTCATCAGTTGATGGACATTTGGGTAGTTTCTACTTTTTGGTGATTGTGACTAGTGCTGCTATGAACATTTGTGTACAAGTGCTGGCGTGGACATACATTTTCTTTTTTCTTGGTATATACCTAGGAGTAGAATTGCTGGGTCATATGGTAATTCTACATTTAGCTTTTAAGAAACCACCAGATTATTTTGCATAGTCACTGCATCATTTTACATTCCTACCAGAAATTCCAACTTCTCCACATCCTTGCCAATACTTATTATTATCCCCTTCTTTTTTTCTGAATCCTAACCACCGTACTGGGTATGAAATAATACTCATTGTGGTTTTGATTTGCATTTCCCTAATGACTAATGATATTGACAGTCTTTTCATGTCCTTATTAGCCATACTTATATCTCCTTTGAACAAATATCTTCTCAAATCCCTTGCTCATTTTTAAATCGGGTCATTTGTCTTTTCATATTGAGTTCTAATTTATATGTTCTTTGTATCTTTATTCTTGATATTAGATCTTTATCAGATATATGATTTGCAAATATCTTCTCCCATTCTGTGAGTTTTCTTTTAGTTCTGTTGACAGTATCCTTTGATACACAGAAGTTTTCCATTTGGATAAAGTCCAATTTATCCTTTTTTTTTTTTTTCTTTTTTACTGGAGTGGGCTTCCATTTCCTGCTCCAGGGGATCTTCCTGACCCAGGGATCAAACCTGCGTCTCCTGCACTGGCAGGTGGGTTCTTTACCACTGAGCCACCAGGGAAGCCCCGTATGTTTGTTTTGTTTGGCCATGCTGTGCTGCTTGCGGGATCTTAGTTCCCTGACTAGGGGTTGGACACAAGCCCTCAGTAGTTAAAGCATGGAATCCTAACCACTGGACCGTCAGGGAATTACCTCTGTTTTCTTTGGTTGCTTGAGCTTTTGGTGTCATATCTAAGAAAGTATTGCCAAACCCGTGGTCATAAAGATTCATACCTGTTTTCTTCTTAGAGCTTAATTTGGTTTGATTCTGAGGGTGATAAGAAGCAAGAGGCAACCTGAGTTACATTTTATTTGTATGTGTTCAGACGTGTCTGACTTTTTGCAACTGTAGTGGACTGTAGTGTGCCATGGAATTTTCCAGGCAGGAATACTGGAGTGGGCTGCCGTTTTCTCCTCCAGGGGATCTTCCTGACCTAGGGATGAAACCCACGTCTTTTGCACCTCCTGCACTGGCAGGCAGATTCTTTACTGCACCACCTAGGAAGCCCTGAGTTACATTTTAGTGATATTCCTCTGCTTGTGTGTAGACAATGCCTGAAGGTGTTGGTGGGATAACAAGAAGGAAGGCAAATTGGCATACGCCCATACAAGCAATCACGAAGAACTGGGCTGGGTTGTGAGAGTGTAGACAGGAGGAAGCAAATGGAATGGGTTTTAGACTCATGCTCATCTCTCTCTCTCTCTTAGCCTGGAAATGGACCCTGGTCAGCAGACCTTAGCTGACAACTTCTATGCCATTTCCTATCTCTATTATGGTGCCTTGGGCACATTGTGCACTGTGCTATGTGGAGCCCTTGTCAGCTGCCTGACGGGTAAGGAGGGCGTATGACATCCTTAGAGGTCACCCTGTCCACCTTCTGCCTCTAGGACCCACAGGGAAGGGAAGGAGGACCCTTCTGTCAGTCGAGCGGCCACTGTATACTAGCCACATCTGCACCCTTGTTGCTGCAGTCCCTTCACCTTGTGGGACTTGTCTTATTTTGCAAAGGCAGGAACTGAGGCATCTCCTCTCCACCTCTCTATTCCCTCTTCAACCCCAAAGTGATAAGAGTACCTATTCCCTCTTCCTGAGTCTCAGACTTTCCATTCACCAGGGCTGTACTGAGTCCTTCTCCAAGTTGGCCAATACTCTAGACACTGGGGACACAGCAGCAAATGGAACCATGCGCTGGACCCTCCTGGCCACCCACTGTTGTCTATTACAACCTCTCACTGTGTAGATGAGAAAGTGAGGCCCAGAGAGGGGCAGCGACTTGCCAGTGTCCCCAGTGGATCACTGTCAGATCTGGGCTTGGAAGCCATCAGAGATCTCTCTTTTCTTCCCCAGGGCTTGGTCTCCAGTTCTCCCGCCACCCTCACTAAATAACTCCACTTTCCCTCTGCCCCCTCAGGCCCCACCAAGCGCGGTGCCCTGGGTCCTGGTCTGCTCTGGTGGGACCTCATGCGGCAGACAGCATCGGTGGCCCCCAAGGAAGAGGCGGCCGCCCTGGATGACAGTTTGATGAAGGTCAGTCTCAGGGCTGGGATCCCAGAGCAGGGGGAGGGGCAAGGAAGTAGCTTCAGGTGCTCTGTTTGTGACCTTAATTCAGGGAAGTGACATGGTGAGTCACCGTCTTCGTCTTTCTCAACTTCGCCTTACTGCCAGTGGGAAGGCTCAGCTGGGAGCTAGTGCATCTTCAACACTTTCTATTACTCACTTTAACAAGGACTGAGCAGACTTTCATACTGTTCATTTTCATTGTATCTGTTTTTACAATTACCTCCAATCTATGGCAAGTGAAACTGTCTTGCCTTTCAGTTATTGATATAAAGTCTCTCCTGAAAATAAAATTGCTTAATTCAAAAGTGAGTCAACTTAGAAAAAAATCTTACATAAGAAACATGACAGGGGGTAGATCAACATTGACCAGAGCTGTGTGGTTGCTATGGGAATGCCCCGAGTTTGGGAAACACTGTCCCTGGGGGATCTGATCCAGGTCTGCTCCTGCTTTGGATTCCCTGTTTCATTCCATTATTTATTAAGCACTTGCTGTGTACCCAGACATGCTCTGGCAGGAGCAGAAGAGAGCTAAACCAAGAAAGGAATAGGATCTAAGCAGGTGGTGAGTATTAGGAAGAAAATAAAGCAGGATATGGTGATGGATGAGGTGACATTATTAATGTCCAGAATGAGAAGGAGACGACTACTGGGAAATCTGAGGGAAGGGCATTCTTGGTAGAGGGCACAGCAGGTGCAAAGGCCCTGAGGTCAGAACAGATGCAATTGCAATGGTGAGAGCAGGGATTTGGAATCTGAAGTGTTTTAAAGCTTCCTCCAGCTGCTGTGGGGAAATAATTTATTTTCTTGAAGAACAGGTAGACTCAGAGAGAGGAGAGGGGCAGGCATCCATGGACGCATGGATGGGCTGGACCATAGGTGACATGGCCGTGGGGGAGAGAAGTGGGTGGAAGTTTTGGAGGCAGAAGGGACAGGACTTGCCAAGGTGATATCATGCCACTCTTCCCAGGCTCTGTCCTCCCAGATCTTCTGTCCCCACCTGGAGACTATCTGAGCTACACAGCACAAGTGAGGTCTCTGACAGGGGCTTTCTTCTCCCCTCCCCCCAGGGTGCTGAGGAGTTTCCCCCTGGAGCCAAGAGGCCTCCTGACTTTCTGTGCACCGACGAGGACCATCTGCTCTACCTGGGTCAGAAGGAGGTGGATGGAGCTGGTTCCAGGACACCAGGCAGTGAACACGACAAAGGTCTTGACCTGCAGGAGACAGACCTCTGAACCAGCTGGGGGCTGACCACCTGGGATGGGGCCTCAGGGGGGCCCATCCCAGGCCATGGGCCAGTGGCCTCGGGCTCTGATTGGTTAAGTCACATCGTATGCAAATAAATTTGGGGCTACACAACCCCACCCTGTGGGAAGAGGTTGAAGCCCTGCCTCCAGAAGATCATTTTATCCTGCCTCCTGCTTCCAGCCAGCACCGAGTCTTAGATGCTATACCCCTGCCCATTCTCCCAAAACACAGCCAGAGTTTTCTCTACCTATAAGAGAAAGAGGTTGGAGTCCCCTCTGGACAACATAGAAAACCCCCAAGCCCAACACTGGGGTCTGAAAAAGACCCCAGGTCTTCCCTGGGAGATATCTGAACCTTAGCATTGATTTTGGAGGTCCTCAGGCCCAAATCCCTGTAACCCACTTCACAGGTAGGGCAACTGAGGCCCACAAAGGGTCATTGACTCGGCCAAGGTCACAGAACAAAACAGAGATTCACTGAGAGTTGGAGACCAACTCTCCCTCCTTCATCTCCTCCCTGTTTTCCTCCCTTTGGCCTCTGATCTTGGGAGCAGAAAGACAGGAGAAATGAGAAACAAGGCTGTCAGCCTTCCTCCTGTGCTTCGACACTTTTATCCATCTCATCCATTAAGGACCATGGACCAACTTTACAGAGGAAGAAACTGAGGCTCCGCAACTCCAGTCAGGGGAGGGACAGGCCTGGGCACTGCATGATGCTGAGGTTCCATCGATGACATGTCACTGGGGTACAGAGTAAGATGGGCCAGGTGAGCTCACGTACCAGAGACGCATCTGACCGTCTATCCCTTGGTTGGAGCCTTCATCCACACACATCAAATAAATGGACTCTTGATGTTCTGTCCTCTCTGAAAAATCATTTTGGCTGTCACCTTAAATCTCTGCAGTCAGATCTGAGTGTAAATCTCTGTATCTCTTGCCCCGAGCCTGCGAAGAATAAGCCTGAGTATTTAAAAGCATCAGAGGAAGGTGATCACTCCTGTACCAGAGTGCATTATACTGTCCTTCCAGACATATAGTTCCTTTCCCCTCCTGACTCCGAAGCCTCCCCTCCTCACTGCCCTTTTCACACCATCCATGCATCAGTCGCTAGGGTTTCTGAGAGCTGCCTGTACCCACCTCTATCTGTGCATCTGACATGGTTCCCATGGCCTCCAGGGAAACATGCTCTGCTCACTTAGAAGTTGGGGCCCCTCTACTAGGTTCAATATGGTACCCTCAAAATTCATGTCTACCTGGAAAACTCAGAATGTGAACTCCATTGAAAATAGGGTCTTGGCAGGTATCCTTAATTGAATTAAGATAAGGTCATACTGGATTGGGGTGGGCCCTGAATCCAATGATTGTGTCCTTATTAGAAGAGGAGAAAAGATACAGACCCATAGAGAGAAAATCATGAGGACACAGAGGCAGAGATTAATGTACCTACAAGCCAAAGGATGCCAAGGATTGCTGGAGCCACCAGAAGCTGGGAGACGGGTACAGGAGGGATTCTCTCTTAGAGCCTTCAGAAGAAGCATGGCCCTGCCAGCATCTTGATTTCACACTTCAGGCCTCCAGTACTGCTTAAAAAATAATAATCATTTCTATTGTTTTAAGTTGTGGCAGCCTCAGGAAATGAATACATTCCTCCTGATCTCTCAGAGGCCTGAACCTCTCTGCAGGCTGCTTTATGGATACCTTTAGATTTGCACTTAAAAGTGACCATCACAAATTTAGAATCCATGGCTGAATAAAGTGGGACAGACTTTGGACTCATTGATGGTCCTTCCTCAAAGCAGAGCCTAGATTCGGGGAGGGGCAGTGGTTGGGGCCAAGGCTGCCCAGTGCAGGCAGAACAAGCTGATCTGGCTGCTGGTTTAGACATCCAGCCATGTTGTCCTGGGTATCCATAGTTCATCCCTTAGTATTGCTGAGTAATAATACTCCACTGTATGGATGGACCACAGTTTGTTCATTCATTCACTCATGTTCATATTACTTCCAGCTTTTGGCTATTGCAAATAAAGTTGCTAAGAACATTAGTGTATAAGTTTTCTAACATACACTTGAATGTCTCTTGGGTCAATTCCTAAGAATGAAATGGCTGGATCCAATGGTAGGTGAATGTTTATTTAAGAAACTGTTGGGACTTCCTCGGTGGCTCAGTGGTAAAGAATCAGCTGCCAATGCAAGGAGACACAAGTTCGATCCCTGGCCTGGGAAGATTCCATATGCCATGGGGTGACTAAGCCTGTGCACCACAGCTAGTGAAGCCGGCCATCCTAGAGCCGGAGCTCGGCAACAAGAGAAGCCACCGCAATGAGGAGACCACACACTGCAACAAAGAGTAGCCCCTGCTCGCCACAATTAGAGAAAGCCCAAGGGCAGCAACAAAGACCCAGCACAGCCAAATTCATCCATTTTTTTAACTGTTAAACTGTTTTCCAAAGCTGTTGATTCATTTTACATCACAAACAAATGCATGAGCTTCAACTGCTCAAAATACTTGACAGAACATACTTTGGTACATCCTTTTAATTTTGCCCATTCCAGTGCCTTCAAGGTAGTACTTCATGGTGGTGTTGATTTATATTTCTCTGATAACCGAACACGTTGAACATCTTTTCACACGCTTGTTATTCATCCAAGTAGTTTTGGCCAAGTGTTGTTCAAACTTTTGTCTATTTTTTTTTCTTTTGCACAACTTTCAGTTAGATTTTTCATTTTCTTGTTGCTGCAAACATTATTTTCGTATTCTGGATACAAGTTCTTCACTGGTTATATTTTCTTCCAACTTGTGTCTTGCCTCTTCAGTTGCTTAAGATTGCCTTTGAAAGATAAGAATTGTAGCTTTGATTGACCAAAAATTATCTTTTTTCCCCTTTTTTTCTCTCTGTGGCAGAACTTACACATAAAAGTCATGATTTTAACCATTTTCAAGGGTATAGTTCAGTGGCATTAAGTACATTTAGATCATTGTACAATCACCACCATCCATCTCTAGAACATTTTACCCATCTGAAACTCTATAACCAGGGATGCTAATTCCCCATTCGCCTCTCTGCCCAGCACCTGGTAGCCACCATTATATTTTCTCTGCCTATGAGTTTGACTATTCTAGGAGTTCATTTAAGTGGAATCATATGTTATTTGGCCTTTTGTGTCTGACTTATTTCATTTAGAATAATGTCTTCAAGGTTCATTCATACTGTAGCAAGTGTCAGAATTTCCTTCCATTTAAAGGCTGATTAATATTCAATGGTATACATATATGCATTTCCTTTATCTGTATATATATACCATTTACCATATTTTATTCATCCATTCATCCATCAGTAGACATCTGGCTTGTTTCCATCTTTTAGCTATTGTGAATAATACTGCTAATGAACATTGGGGTGCACGTGTCAATAGCAAAATATCTTGTCAATATTTGCTTTCATTTCTTTTGGGGTTTTTACCCAGAAGTAAAGAACTGAGGGCTTGCCTGGTGGCTCATTGGTAAAGAAGCTGCTTGCAATGCAGGAAACCCTAGTTTAATCCTTGAGTCAGGAAGATCCCCTGGAGAAGGAAACAGTAACCCATTCCGGTATTCTTGCCTGGGAAATCCCATGGACAGAGGAGCCTGCTGGGCTACAGTCCATGGAGTTCGCAAGAGTCACACACAACTTAACAACTAGACCACCACCATCACCAGAAAACTGGATCATACTGTAGTTATGTTTAATTTTTTAATACAGTTTTCATTCCTATTTTAAATACTGTTTACATTCCTATCAAATATTAACAGACATAAAAGGAGAAATTGCCAGTAACACAATAGTAGTAAGAAATTTTAACAACCCACTTACCTCACCTGATATGTCATCCATGTAGAATATTAATAAGAAAAATCAGCCTTTAGATATGTGGAATCTAAAAAATAAAGCAAGTGAATGAATATAACAAAACAGAAAAAGACTCATGTGTATAGAAAACAAACTAGTGCTTACCAGCCGGGAGAGGGAAGGGGGGAAGGGTAAGATAGCAGTGGAGGATTAAGGGGTACAGACTAATATGTATACAATAAATAAGCTACAAGGATACACCACAGGGATATAACCAATATTTTATAGCAACTCTAAATGGAGTATAATCTATAAAAATTTTGAATCACTATGCTGTACACCTGAAACCAATATAATACTATAAATCAACCATACCTCAATAAGAAAAAAGGAAATAATGCAACTGATTTGGGGGTGTTGATTTATGTCCTGCAACATGGTATATTGGAACTCTGATGAATTCATTTATGAGTTCTAACAGATTTTTTACAGAATTTCCCCTGTCTTCTACATATGAGACCATGTCATCCACCAAAAGAGATAATATTATTTTTTCTTTTTCAATTTGGATGTCTTTAATCTCTTTTTCATGCCTAATTGCTTCGGCTAGAACGTCCAGTACTATGTTGAAAAAAGTAGCAAAAGCAGACATTCTTGTCTTAATCCTGATCTTAGGGGAAAAGCTTTCAGTCTATCACCATTGAGTATGATGTGAGCTGTGGGATTTTCATATGTGGTCTCTATTATGTTAAGGTAGTTTCTTTCTATTCTTGGCTTGTTGAGTGTTTTTATTTAAAAAAAAAATATTGATTTCTGGCAAATGCTTTTTTTCCCTGCACCAGTTGAGACAGTCATGTCGGGTTTTTTTTGTTATTGTTGTTCATTAATGTGGGATATTATATTGATACTTTCTTATGTTGGACTATCTATGTATTCCAAATATAAGCCCTGCTTGGTCATGCCGTTTAACCTTTGTCATGTACTGCTGAAATCAGTTTGCTAGTATTTTGCTGAGAATTTTTGCATCAATGTTTATAAGAGATACTGGTCTATACTCTTCCTTTTCTATAGTATTCTTCTCTGGCTTTGGTATCAGGGTAATGCTTTTTTTTTTTTTTTTTTTTGAGGTTGATGCCTATTGTGTTCAATCTATGAAATTTT